CTCTGGTGAAGGTGAAGTCTTTAGCACTGGGGATTTGTAGGAACAAGTTAAACAAGTGATCCAGAAAGCCAGGATCAGTTCTGCACTGGGCAGGGGTATGCATTAGATGATGAAGTCACTTGGGCCATTTTCATTCCCAACATCTAAAATTACAGGTCAAATCAAAGGCCTTCCTTTTCCTGCATCTCCTGGAAATCATTCTGTGATAATTGCTACCTCTTTTCCAAATAATCTGCATCTTCTAGCTTCACAGCAAGAGGAGTTCAGCATTGCCAAAAGACTGTAATATTCTTTAAGCAGCAAATCACTGCAACATTGCCAAGTAGGAGAAACATAATGTCATCTCAATGTCTCATCCACCAATTAGAAAAGCTCAGCAAACCTCAAATTAAACAGAATACTTTTGTCACCCTACTAAAATGTGCTGTGATTTATGTTACTCAGGCACAGGAAACACCAGGGAGAGAAGCAATACACAATCCTTCCTGCCAGTCAGTAAATTCATTTGTAAACAGTAATTATTTACTGCAGTGATGTCCAGGATGTACTCCACCAAGCCAGCTCCACCATCACAAGTTCACAAAGCATTTGTAGAATACATTTTCAGTAACTGAAGTGCTGGCAGATACATGGGCTGTTTGTCTGAGCATCATTCCTTTGATTCCAATAACCAGGACTAAGCCCAGCCTTTGTCAGAACCCCAGAGCATAATAAGTGCACACCAGCAACTCAATTAGCCTTTTTTTTTTTTTTTTTTATTTCTTCACCATTTTATTTTCAAATATTATTCTCAACATGCTCCTGGTCAGAACTATTCCTTACTGCTGGAAAGCACTTCCTACTCCCTGAGTACTTTACCCGGTGTTTCCCATTAACTACCTTTCAGCAGCTCCCTGCTCGGCACCATATGTAGCAGACTTGAGATGTTTCTTGAGGCTAGTGAGCTCAGCACTGACCAGGTAAAGGAGACACAGCTGGAGTTTAGGCCACCTCAGTATAGCTGCTTTCTGCAAGGTTACTCACAGTCATACTGTAAAGGAGGAAGAATTCCTTTAACAGATGTGCACATGTTCAGCAGCTACCATGAGAAGTCCTGCTGGTGCACCTGGACTGAGTGAGATGCTTAAATTCACAAGCAGAACCCAATATCAGTGGCTGCCTTTCTGCCAAAGGGCCCTGATCTCTGTACAGCTACTGATAGATCGGTTGATGAGATTTTCAAGCTCAAGAGATGAACAAAATCTAGTACTAAAGCCAAAAGAAAAGGAACTATTTTCCTCCTGTTCTTTCTCACTTCAAAAAGTAAAACTGCTGTTTCCCTCTTCCTACTTGCTATATCTCAGTTCAGATGTTGCCTTAGGTCGCTTAGATGTGGTTAAACAATCTTGAAGTGCTAGTGAACTGATCAAAAAAGTCATTTTTCACACCTAATAAATATGTGAATAAGCCTAGGCTAGTCATCAAGGCTGCCTACAGCCAACAGTGTGATAGGTATCTTCAGGGTATGATCCATACCATCCTAAAGGAAATTTCAGAGACAGTACAGATGAATCAAACCACAGAAGTGACCATTTCTCTCCCACCAACTAGAAACAGAGTCTTTACCATTAGAGTAAAGACAACACATTTCTAGGTGCTTAATGTAAATCTCCCCAGAATCTCAAAAGTCAACCTCAAACTGAAGCCGATCTCTTGAGTCAGATCTCTTTTTTAAGGGGGGGGATCAAAGCTGTCAGACTAATCTTGCATTAACATTTTTTCTGCTAGACCTTCTTATGTTACAGGCACAGAAACTGAACACCCTACCAAAACATTCTTGCAATTTTTTCAGCTCTTTCAAAAAAGTTAGAGGACTTTCCGGAAAAAAAAATCATCTTGATTGTTTCCTGCATTTAGGATGAGCCACACAAGCATCCACAAACTCATTTCAGCTCAACTCATAAGTTATTTTAGGCGTAGCCATCATTTTAGCTGTGGGAAAGTCTACCAAATAAATGGCTGATTATGTTTTAGTGCCACTCCCAAATCATATTGTGACACTTAAGTATTCTTTTGTCTGATTATCCATGGGGGAAAGCCAGGATATGTAAAGTGTCACTCTGTATTTATCAATTTATTGAACGACCATGCTGTTCATGTGCATAGAGATGGGGCTCTGGTTTGATTGTTTTTATGTTTCTGCTCAGTGCAAAGATCTCTCACTAAGAATAGCTTTGTATCACTTACTGTCTTATCTGGTCATACAGCAGATTCAGTACATCGTCCTGATGTTACCGAAGTTCTCATTATCCAGATTTATCCTTTCTAGTCACACATGTGCTCTCCTTTGGTGTTTATCTATCGCCTGGTTTTGCCCAAGAATGGGCATCCTGATGGGCACAGCTCTGAATTCAGAATTACCCATAAGCTGCAGGGAGAGATGACAGACCTGATGGGCAGTTAAGGTTAAAATGCCAAATTTCAGTTTGTCAAAGACTAGTAACAGATGAAAACAAGCACAAACAAAGTCACAACAATTGCTCCACATGGCCTTTTTGCTGCCATCCAACAAACATTAACAACGTGGCACAAGGCATTTCTCTAAGAGCTGCAATTACAAGCTTTAAAACTCAGAAACCGTTGTGATATCTTAAGAGTTTTGAGCTTTGAAAACTGATTTTCACATTTTATTTTCCTGGATGCGTGGTGGTGAAAGATCTGACAATATCTCCATGACCTCAGTCTACCACATTTCACAACAAAATGCAACAGCATTTTCATGGTAGGCAAAGAACCAAATGTCTATTATGGGCTTTATGACATCACAGTAAACGTGTAGATTTGAACACACGATTTAAAAATTTGTGTAGGTTAGTTGAACCACATAGGATTTGCCTTCAAAAACCTGAAATTTCCAATCCGTCTTCATATTCTTTTTAGTCCAAGTTTCATCTCACTGCACTTTTCTGTTCTTCCTCAGTCATGATGGCATCTTTTTAAACCACCGATAATCTGTATTGAGTATTGCACAGCACAGGGTCTTAATAAAAGAATGAAGTAATCCATCACCATCTCTTTAAACTTATATTCTGCATTCAGGCTCTTAATCTTGGCGTTCCCATGGCTTCTCTAAATGCTTCTCCAAAATGTCGGACCATTTCCAACAAAAAGTCTCCATTCTCCCCCAGCCCTGGCACAATGCAGCAGCTCCATTCCTTCCTACTCTACGTACGACAGTCTGCTAAGTCTGTTTTTTGACCAGTAATATCAGTCATAAGGTATGTCAGTTTCTCAGGTACAAAATTCAAGTTGCTTTCCTGTTACGTGTAATATAGATGAATATTGCAAATAGATGGCAGACTCAGCTTCTTGTTTTATGAAAGCAAATCTTGCCATTCCCAGCTCTCAAACACAGCCCAACTCAAAATAGTATGGCAGTTAATAATCGTTCCTGAATTCAGGTACAGAAGGTCATTATGAGTTATATATTAGTAGAAATACTGCTGAAGGAAAATTGAAATTTAGACAAGCACAAAGCTCTCCAAAAAGCAGTCAGTGTGAGGAAAAGACCTCAGCCCCATTTAGTCCATGCTCTAATTTTTAACTAATTGGCTCTACTCCCTGGGTTAAATCTCACTTAAAAGTCTGACTCGCTGAGACAGACAATCCCATTTTAATAGGTACCAAAATGTTCTGAACTTTGCAGTTCATTTGTTGCCACCTTAAAACATCTCTGGATTTGCATCCTTCCGAAATCAATGACTATGCAGTTCTCCTATAGCCATATGAAAGTCAAGATTGTGTCTAATCTTCTACACGCTCTCCATAATGGAAACCAAAAGAGTGTTATGAGGATGATCTACCCCATCTTACTGCAGATGTCAGAGGTGAAATGCCACTTCTGGTATTTCCTGTACTTCTCCATTGGCTCAAATTCAGTGCAGCAGGCTTCCACCAACCAGCATAAATGAGCTCAAGAAATAGCCTCACTCACCAAATATAAATCCTCCAGCTAATTCTGAAGATGAAAAAATTCTTAATGATCTCAGATTTTAGGGTCACATTTCAAAGACATTGGGACATAAGGAAGTTTCTGGAAATGTTTGAGAAAGGTGGCTCTTGGTGTGATTTAATGACTTAAATTTGCTTCCACTTTGAAAAAAATGCCTCATCTATCTTCTTGGCTGTCATTTAAACACACTCCTTGAAATAGGTAGATTTCTTATGCTTGCTCCTATGATTCTTATGCTAGCTCCTAGGCTATGAAGGAGAAAAGATTATCTGATTCTGTACTGATAAATATAATGAAAGAAAAATGACAGCAGAGAAGGCCATTGTTGGCTTCCAAAATAGTCTCTGCACTTCACAAAGGGAAGAGAAAAAGGCTTATGTGCATGGTAAGCTCCTCTATTTCACGAACACTGCAGCGTGGCTGTGGTAAGACTCGTACCTGATGTACCAGCTGCTTAAGTTAGCTTCTGCTGGTTAGGTACTGCAGAAATCCTGTAGCAGGATTTAAAGTTGAGAGGAATAGGAACTGCAGCATAGACAAATCTGTGCATGTCCAGATCATGTCCTGCACATGACATGTACATATTACTTGCATTAACTTCAGTGAATGGAAATAGACCTTCCATCACAGTAACAAAATCTTAACATACATTTTTGGCCATTCCTAAAAAGGAACACTAATCTTTCATTAGCTATATAGAAAGAAAAGAAAAAACCAACTCCAGAATCTTCAGTTCTCTGTTCCCATGGCAAGAGCACACAGCACAAGCAGGTAACAGCCTGAAACTGAATCAGATCCCAGTCCCTCAGCAGGAGGGAAAACTCTGAGCCTTCTCCCACAGCCAGTCCAGGCTCTGCAGGATTCAACGGCGTCATTCCCACCGTCTTCACCTGTGTCAGGACTTCACAGTAAGGCACTGCAGTTAGCAGCAGCTAGCTGTTGCCAGCATTATATTATACGTGTATGTGTGCATATATAAGAGATAAGCATCTTGCTATAAACTGCTGAAAATGTTCCATTCGCTTCCTGTTCTCACAGCTGTCCTCTGCCCATTGCACTCACAGGTCTCTGATGTTTTTTCAGTGAATTAACTCCAAGAATTTAAAAGAAAGAACATTTCAATATGTTTTTCTGACAGGTAAGAAATTAACTGCATACCAGGAGCTATTGAATTCAGCTTTAATAGTATCAATAAACATTTCTGATTAAATTATGAAATTGATTTTATACTTTTAACCATTATGTTTTTACATCAATATCATCATATGACAGCAAATGTAGTTACTGCTTCCTTATTGATTTTGAACATGGCACTCCAAAGTACTCGTCTGATGATATTACAAAATCAAACTTGATTTCCTGTAGTACTGTAGTAACTTTTGGTCATAACTTGATATGAAGAACCAATAATAGATGGATTATCAAGTTGTTAAAAGGTATTTCTCCTTACAAATGCAGCCACGATTTTGCTGCCTGCTTTGAGGACTTCCAGGGCAAGTTTTGGGGCTTGGGGATTTTGTTATTCTTGTGTGCCAAATAATAAAACCTCCTCTTTCTCTTGATGAGCTATCTATCAGGTTTCTCGTGACTCATCTAAGCACTATTTATTAACGAGCAGGAACAAAGTGCTATTTATAATGCTCATTCAAGCAATCCAACAAAAACTCTGAGTTTCTGTAGCTTGGGAGCATTACTCTTGATCTCACCCTCCCCTCTGTCAGGATAATAGTTATGTGTTGGGCCACTCCATCTCCCCATAAGGTTTAATGTTCTGTTAAGAGAATGCATAATTCAAAAGAACCACTGTTGCTCTGATACATGCATAATAGTAAATCAAAGGTGTAATGTGCTGGATATTTATGTCTCAGGGTTAAGAACAAGTCTGATCAGATTAAAGAAATTTCAGTACCGGGCTTTTTTTTGGCTGTTGTAAATTTTTCCACAGGCCCTCCCATGTCTGAACCTTCCTAGGCTGAAGGACTACAAGGCATCTTCATTGATATAAACTGCCGTCATGAAAGAGGAGCAGCGAGTTGAGACCTTAAGCTGTTTTGTCAGATTGTACTTTGGTAATGGATCTGTGGGTCTGCTGACATGTTACCCAAAGGTGTCTTTTCAAAACAGTCAGTCATGTTTCTTCTTACCTAATTATAGGGGCATCTGTTTCAAAATGCAACTAATCCCTCCAGGTTTTGTAGGCTGAGGAAAGGGGCGGAAGGGGTCAGTTGGAACTTGTGCTCTTATCCCTCTTGCAAGATTATTCCCTAATATTCACAAAAGTATTTAGAGCATTGACAAGTATTTGCCTTGACAAGCCTGTGGAGAACTCGATACACTCTTGTCTGCCTCAGATAAACCATTCCCTGAAAAAAGACATCAGCAGAGCATGGGAAGTTGTTTCACCTTGCTTTGATTTAAAAAAAAATACAATTGGTAATCTCCTTAAAAATATTGGCAATCTAATGCCTATGGGAATGAGCAATTTCTGTAGTGCTGGTTAAACTGGTCTCTGCTCAGGTGGGCATCGTGCAAACTCTTTCCATGCAAAGATTACGGGTCCTGTAACTCTGCTGGTATACCAAAGCCAGCATAGTATATGAAGTACGCTATGGCATGTTCTGGTGGTGGTGTAAGGGGATCTGTACTCTATTCAGCTCATGCTCTTTCTCCTTCTCTTTCCCATTCTGCCCTGTGTGAGGTCTCATGACGCATTTAGGAAGAAAATTCTGCAGTAGGTCAGCATAGGGAATAGCAAACCAGGAGCGTGGAGCAATGTAGTTTGCTGCCCTGCAAGAGAGATTTGTGTGCAGCCTTCAGTTCTGAGCTATTCCACCATAGCAGCTTTGCTGACTCTTTAAAACATGTAGCCCAAATCTCTCACTTGTATGACACTGTTCCAGAAATCTCTTTTTATCTTTCCATCACTGACCACTGTTCCAGAACTACACTTCACAAAAGCTTCAACGCTGCGCTCAGAATTCTGCTTGGAAGGGTAAAATTATCATATATCCTCTAGACACTTGGTGCTGGAAGAAAGGCAATAGCTCAGCTGGAATCAATAAAGCTTGCTGGTTTATCACCATCTCAGGACATAGCTTCAGCTGCAGGCCCATGCATCTTCACTGAGCCACCTGAATCCTGCACTGGGGCTCCTCGGTCAGCAGTCGGACACCTGAAATCTCCCTGAGAACTCTTAATCTTACACAAGGCAGTGAGCACCCTGCATTTATCACTGCAGAATGGCAGAAGAGGGTTAGGATGTTCACCCTGCAAGAAGCAATTTGATTCGAGGCTTACAAGGGAAAAAGAACCTCTGAAGTCTTGGTAGCAACTTTTTTGATCTGCTTTGAGGGATCAAAAAAACACAAGTGCTTCCCACCATCTCCTGAAACACACTGCCTTTTACAGGCAAAGATAACAGCATCCTATTAGAAAGGTGTGCCTTTGAAAGTTTACCATATTTATTCTTACAGCGATGAAAAAGGGAAGTACTCTATCCTTGTTCTACAGCAGCAAGCAACTGAGATGCCTGGGGAAAATATGCTGTTCATCTACTTTCAGCTAATGAAAAGCTGTGCATCCCTTTTCAGGTATTCCTCTGTAACTGTAGGAGAGAAATGCCTTCAGGAAATCATAGACTCATAGAATCAGAGAATGGCTTGGATTGGAAGGGACATCAAGGAACATCAAGTTCCAAACCCTCTGCCAGCCATTAGATCAAGTACTAGACCAGGCTGCCCAGGGCCCCAACCAACCTGGCCCTGAACACCCCCAGGGATGGGGCATTCCCAACCTCTCTGGGCAGCCTGTTCCAGCACCTCCAAACTCTCAGTAAAAAAAATTCTCCTTATATCCAATGTAAATCTCCCTTCCTTTAGTTTAAAAACCATTCTTCTTGGTCCTATCAGTATCTATCCATGTAAAAAGTTGATTTTCTTCAACCACTGCATCCTCAAGAAACTGCACAACTAGGATGAAGCGCTGACTGAGGAGGGAACTTTACTGAGTGCAAAGGCAAAAATGAAACTAAATTCTAAATAGTCAAAAGTAGGCAGAATTAATTACACCCTAAATAATTTTCCTCATCTCTCTCACACACAGTAAGCATGCAGAAGAACAGGAAACAAGACTCGCTCTTCTCCATTCTCACACTGACACTTGAGCCACCAGGACATTTCTTCCTCGCTGCCGAGCCACCCTGCCTCTGTCTGTTCAGCATTTATAGCCAAGGGGACGTTTCCAAGGGCTCAGCACACGAAGCAATAAAATTGGCAATTTGAAGTCGGATCATTAGTAGTCACTTGCTTTCTACTTTGAAACCACTTTTTCCTCCAGAAGTGCCAGAAAGCCTCACTGCCCCAACAAGTCAGGGCATTTGGTAACTCATGGTCCTCTCTGTTCTTGGGCCAGGAGATGCTCAGATTGCCACTAGGCACAATTTATCCAATCAACAGGGAAATATTCTCATTTTTGGCCTCCAGTTCTCTTCCTTGTGGTTTTCCCAAGCACACTACTAAGTTAAGTAAGCACATAACTAAAGAACATAAAATAGATTTGGGGACAGATGGAGCTCAGGCTCCGAGTCCTTCCATTTTCAGGACCCACAAACAGAAGCTCCATTATTGCATGTGTACCAGTGTGCCTCCGATTCAGAAGCAAAAAAAATAGCCTAAAGTTCTCTTCCTGGGTTAGCTGAGGTTAAACAGGTGTTTTTGGTAAGGATTGCAGTTACATTTTGATTACACTAGCCCACATTCTTACATCACATAATGCAATATGATATACCCAAATGTATCTTTCAGTGCCAAACCGGGGCCCCCAGCTTGATGTTGTTCTAATTGTGTTTTTCATTAATCCCTGTGACCTCTGCAAGCATCATCAACCATATACAGACCCTCAGAGCTGAGCACTGGAGTTTCTTCAGGAACTATTTTTTGCATCTTCTCTTTACTTTTTGGTAGAGAAGAGTAAGAGCAAAAAGAATTTCAAATCCAGCTCTGAGCATGAACAGCAGGAATTGTCTGAACAAACATATATCTAAAGAACTAGCTTGTTGCAGTTGGATAGTGTGTCTTCCTTAGTAACCTGATCTAGCCTCCAAAAGGAAAATCCTGACTTCTTCAGAGGGCTTTGGACCCAGCCTCCACTACCGGAATGCAAGTGTGAGGCAGTGATGCTGCTTTAGAAAGAAATGATACTGAGAGGGGTGAGGTGAGAGGCCAGTTCTTGATCTCATCCTGGAGTCACTCACACATTTCAAATGAGGCCAAATTCTCTCGCCAGCCACACCCTGGCAACCTCATGTCCTTTATGTGAGCTGCAGTAGCTCTATCTGGGACAGGATTCGACCCAGCACGCCTCCCTCCCTCCTGGAAGGAGCCCGTTTTCTCCACTCTCTGGAGAGCTCAGGGCCCCAGCTTGTGGGAAACTGGAAATTTCCATGGAGTTACAGCAGGAAAAGTGCTGGCCACCCCAGTCTCAATACGTTTTGTGCGGAGGAACAGCATATTTCATTAGAAAGCATGCAAGGAGAGACTGCAGCTCGGAGGTGATTCATTGGCAATGCAAAGAGCAGTGCAGCTGAGCGGCTCTCCTGCTTTGTAGCTCTGTAGGTGTGTTTTCATGCACTATAGAAAGGGTTTGACAGATGTGCATTATTATGCACAGCAATAACTGATGTATATTAAAATGAGCTGCTCGAGTAGGGAGGAGAGAAACAATGCACCTGTTTAGGCACCTTCCCATTTACTACTTCTGCTTTACTGAAAAACAACTGCTGATTTATGCTCATCTGCATAAAAGGAAAAGACTTTGAAGATGTTTCTGCTGCAAGGTTAGCCAGGTTGGGCCTTGGTCTACCTCCAAGGCACACGATTTTCAACCTCTTAATTACTCTGCAGTTGGTAAGAGGTCCCACGCCAACAGGAGAGGCACTTTGTCCTGCCATCATCACAGAAACAAGGTGATGCAGCTGGTCATTGGGATGGAAGACTTCCAAGCAGCCTCAGCCAAACTAGCAGCCCAGGCTGCTTGCTGTACCACAATCACCAGCATGACTGGCAAAAAGTAAACACAGAAGAAATGCAGGCACAAGGTACTCCATATGAGAAAGGGTCTGGCATAAAGCAGGAGAACCCTTTACACATCACTATTTCTGAGAGACGCAGATGAGAAGTTTGCAGACTAGAAGCACACAGTGATATAAATCTGTCTTGCCGTTACCATTCCTGTTCTGCATTATCCCATGTAATCAAAATCTGACTCTTCTGAGCACTCAATATTCAAGCATCACATAAGAGTGTCTGCAACACCATCAGTATTTCCTTTCAGAGCATACTGAAAAAGAGACCCAGACTGTAAAGTATGGTAACCCCTGCCAAGGACCAAGGGTTTCTGCAGAGGTGCCTGTGTTAGCAGAGTAAAGTGCACAAAGTGTTCTGTGACAGAGCCATCCACTGCCATGGCAGAGCAGCATGCCTGTAGTAGCTATGAGCCAATGCATTAGCTAGAGGTGCCCATGCTTTCTACAGAACAGAATTTGAGCCTTTCTTATTATTTTTTTTAAATCAATAATCATCTTTTACAATGCAGATTGAAAAAATCCACATCTGATAAACATAGTAGAGCTATGCCCATTCCCTTATTTCCAATGAACAGTTCTATACAATTCTGGTACCTTACAGAGTTTATCCCATTTTCTCCCAGAACTGTCACCTCCACACTTTCATACACAACTGGCTGAAAAGTTGTAAAGGGTAAAGCTGCATAGAGGGCAGGAAAACAGGAATGCTAGCACAAAAACGGCAGCAAAGAGTCAGAAGAGAACAGTGTTTTGCAGGCTCTCCCCTCTCCACTCATTTCTTCCTACAGGACCCAATCCTGTACCTTCTCAAGGATGAGCAAGGAGTCACCAGAGCAGTCCCAATCCCCAGAAAGGAAGTCAGTAGGCTCAGCTGCACAGCAGCACGGCAATGCTGACTGCTGGCAGAGCTGTGCTGGGCAGCAAAGTCTGAGGGCAGCAGTGGTCAGAGCATCACACGGTTGTCACCCGCACTGCGCTGTGTGGTGTTCTCAGGACAAGCAACTGTCCTGCAGCTCTGCACATATGCTGGTGACAAAGATGAATGGACAGAAAACTAAGTCTAATTCCACCCTGAAAGGCAGTATACCCATGGTATGTACACAGGCTCCCTGCACTTCACTCCTCTTCCTTTTTCCTTTGCTATATGAATCAGAGGTGGGCAAGGAAAGAAATCCCACAGCTCGAGTAGGTACCTCTGTTATCAGTAGTAATACTGAGGAGTAAAGCTCAGGGAGGGTGTGAGAATAAGAGCCAATCTGGATCTGTTATTTCATGCTGTCTCCACATACTTTTCTATTTCATCCACAACAGATTATTTCTGACACTTTTAGAGGGCCCCTGGCCCATTTGCTTATTGGTCTGATCTTTACCAGCAATGAAACTAGAAGTCTAGTAAGCAAAGACTTCTGGAGAGTTAAGAGGATACCCTTTTATATTATTCACTGAAATTGCTTCTTGGCTAAAATATTCTCCTGTCAGTGCTTTTCATGTGTTCAGCAACATCTGCAGGATGTGGAAAGAACAGAAACAAACCAGATGTTGCAAAAGGTAGTGACACTGAGAAACATAATTATTACAGCGTCTCGTTTGCTTTTTGTCCTTCTTATGCCTTCATATGCCAGTAACTTTTACTGCTCAGTCACAGACCGACTCATCCGAGTTCCCTCTGAGCAGATTTACAATCATTTGTAAAAATTGACATATTCCCCTCCATTAAAGCCAAATTTCCTTTAGCAATTTCAGAGGAAAAATAGATTAAGGGAATGTGCATATTTATCTCAGCCATCAACATTTATTCATTTAGGCAATTATCACTTCATTACGCTGTCAAAGAGAGCGGGCGGGAAATTCACCGCCGCCCGACCAAGCGCCACGGCAGCCCTCAGCCACCTCCTGTGCTGGCCTGGGGTGGCCGTGCTGAACGTTTGTCACAGCGATGTGCGGGGGCTGCGGGTCCAGAAGTGGCACCGGCAGAGCCGCCACATGGGGCGGATGGACGGACAGACACAGCCTGATCCAACAGCGCCCCCAGAAGCAAACCTGCGGCTGGACAGCCGGACAGCCGGACGCCCGGCATCGCTGCCTATAGCCCCGGCTTGCGCTCGTTGCACAAAGCAGCAATTAGATTTGAAGAGCTGCTCACCCCATTAACAAAGAATGGGAGTGGGGAGGGGGGAGAAGAAGCCTTGCAGCCTTCAGAGCGCATGCCGCAGCACAGAAAGCAGGCCAGGCTATGAGGTTCAGAGCATTTTCCAGCTATTTTAACTCAGACCTCAGGAATTTCGTAGAGGGGGATCAGAAGACCCATAAGCGTTGCCAAATTCTGGGGGAACAAAGTATAACTAGATTAATATATAAATCTTATTAACTAAAATGTAGTTGAATACAGTCATTTGTTATCAAAGTCTTTTGATTGTTTAACGAATTGCAACATTTTGGTCTCATGGGCTCCCTGCCAAGTTGAGGCCTAATTAAGGTGGTTGGAAATGAATAGTGTTCTAATTAGTTTAATTACTATATGATGAATTATCAAACTAATTTTTAAAAACAATGTGCAATTAGCCTTTTAGCATTCAACCCCCTGCTTTCCAAGGCAGGAAACGAAGCGGAACAGACTTGTTTTTATCCCTGGGCTGGAGGCTGAGCCATCGGGTCCCGGATGGGGCGAGATGCCCACTCATGCTCACCCTGCTTCACTCCTCAGGCACTGCCTTGAGTGCCTTTGGCTACGTCTGTGGAAAGCACACTGTCTGGTCCCAGTTGGGTCATCGCTCCTTATCAAATTCCCAACCAGGGATTGTCCGTGTTCCTTCACTTTGTTGAGGTTGCACTGAAATTCCTGACATGCTACAGGAATGGTATGCAAAGGGCTGCCACGCTGGCTTGGTGAGGTTTTGTATTTCTACCTCTCAAAGCAGCGGACGAGGAACTCCATCTGCCCATGAACCATAAAGGTATGCAAGTTCCTACCAACAGCACGTAGCGAAGGAAAGTATTGCCTCAGTAACCACCAAAACTGCACTCCATAATGCCAATTGTACAAACGTTATTTTCCATTTTCTGAGTACATTTCTTTTATATTTGTCCCCCAAAGGCTATTTTCTGCTCTGACTACTGATCCCACTGCATCACTCCCCCAGCCAGCAAACCTTTCCAGAAATACACTGCACCTGCATAACCTCAGTAATGTCGCACTCTT